TCTGGTAAAGGATTGATTTATTCTTGCTTGATGTGACTTAAAGAAGAAACTTGACGTCAAACACAGAGTAAAAGCCAGATATCAAAGTAGAGATTTCTACTCCAGTTGTCAGTAATGAGTTGCCCCCAGAAGGATATAGTTCCCCATGGTTTCCAAATGTTTGTTCCTCTGCTTACTTAAGAAATCTTTCTTACATACCTGGTAAGATTTAGGGATAGTTTCTTCTGCTTAGTTGCACTGACCTACAGGACCAGTTGTTTGTTTCCTTTTTTAAAACATAGCATGTGTAAGTAGTTGGAAGGAACAGAAAAAACTAGTGCGCTTCATTTTTTTTTTATTGTATAAGCTATTAGGTTGTAAGGTAGCTATGTGTACGGAAGAATATATTGAAGACCATTACAAAATGCTGTTTAAATGAGGTACCTGACTTGGAATCCTTGATTTATAGCTTTTTGGGTATTACTTAACCCTGTTACTAATTCTGTGACATCTTGTAGGTAAGATGAGTAAGGCCAGTGACCAGGGCATGAACTGGATGAGGCTTATGCATAGCCATGATGATAAACTATGGAGAGACTAGTAATCTTATTTGATGAGAAACATCACCTTTCGTAAGTCTTCCTGTTGCCATGTGACTCTTCTTTTTGGTCAACAAACGATGGGTATTGAATAACTCTCCTGAACTTGCCCTCAGGTTCTCCTTTGCCTCTGCAGAAGAGGGTGGTTGGGCCCTGGCCTTTCACCTTCCTCTGGGTCAGGTGAAGAAGGAAGAGGAAAATGAGGGGGTTTCCTCTCGAGTGCCGGAAGAAGGCCTGGACAGGGCATAAGGGCAGGGACTGTCTCCTTCAGTTTGAAATAGTCAAAGAAGTTTTTAATCCTGTGGGTGCGTTTGGCAGAAGGATGGAGGGGTGGGTAATTCTACATTTGAGAGCAAGGAAAAGGTTTTGAGTGAGACTGCGAGGAAGCAGTGTGGAAATGACACTTACTCCAGGATCCCCGGGGCAAGAGTTCTTGGGTTAAAATTCTGTTACTGATGGTGTTACCCAAACTGCATCTCTTAGGCCATCCTTGGGATTTCTGTGAATGTTGTCACTGCATAGTAGTGTTGAACTAGATAAAAGCTTTCTTTTCCCAAGACATACCCTTGTTTTCCTGGCACCAGTCTGTAATGGTTTAAGCACAGTCATCTACTTTGTGTTAAATTTTCAGGTACAGTGTGAATCAAGCATGCCATGAAGTCATAAATCTAATCCCAGTTTAACAGGAAAGCAGGGAATGGAGCAGTCATTCTTGTAATGAAAAAAAGGTGAAAAATGTATTACGTGTCTGACATAGCTGAATTGTGTGCTCTGTCAGTCATTAACTTAATCTGTAAATTTGCCTCCAGTTTGAGGCTAGTTTCTTAGTCAGTCAGAGTGAGTGTGTTTTGACTACCATAACAATGAGTGGAGTGAGAAAAAATTAAAATGCAAAGGAACTTCCTCTCCTTTTTTTCCCCCCCCCTCTCCTTTTTGTGAAAGTGGCCTGATTCTCTTCCTACCTGTCTGGCCCAGGAAAGTTCAGTCATTCTGGCTACCTGAACCACCTCCTCTGCTCAGCAGTGCTGTCTTGACTGCTGTCATGTCCTCAACTTCACCACCTGAAGTTCCTTTAATCTCCAGTGTTCCTTGGAGTTTCCTTGGCTGCATGCTGTTCTGCATCCTGCTTTACTTTACAGGAGAGGTGACCTCTCTCCCCTTGCTAGCTTTTTGATCCACTTCCCACAGCTCTTTGTGGTAACTGGGGATCAAGGGCACTCTCATAGCAGACCCTGTGCCTGGCACAGGAGGTCCCTGAGCTGCCAGCTGTGGGGGCCCCGAGGCTCTTCTGGGAGTGCTGGTATGTGCTTGCTGTATTCTTGCACTCATTCCTGGCTGGTTGCTTTTGGCCACAGACATGGTCTAGTTTGTGTGGCTTTTTTTTTTTTTTTTTGTCGTTTATTTTACTGGCTTTATTAGTGTAAAACTGATACAGGCAAACTTCAGAACTTTATGCAGCAGATGGCTGGAAGTGCTGCCATGTTTAGCAGTTTTGTGATACATTTCAGACTTTACCATATTTACAGAGTTTTGTATGAGAAACGTGATCAAGGCAAGCAAAAACCTGTAGCCTTTAAGCACCACAGTACACTCAATCTTGCTGCTTGGTGTACTGTGGTGGCTGTCTGTTTTGACAGAGGTCAGATCAAGTTCACTCGGTATTACACATGAAAAACATTTTTAAAAATTAAATAATGATTTAATTTGGGAAGCTAGTGTAGCTTTCTGAAACAAGGTTATTCTTATATGAGCTAGAAATAAAAAGATAAAGGAAAAAAATCCTTTACTATGCTCTTATAAACATGGGCATTTAAAGGTCATTGTAATGATGTAGTAGAAATCTTTGTAAAAAAAATGTAGATCAACAGAAAGGATGTACTTTTGTTGCTGATTATTTCAATGAAACATTATTGGAAAGTTCAAAGGCCAAAGTATTTGGGATGGTTCTGCTATAACTGTGAGGGAACTGAACTTGTACTGGTTGCGGTTGCTGATGGCTATGGTCAGAATACCTCTAGCCGCAGTCAATATTACTATTACAACCTTGTTAAACCTTTGCCACCAAAATGGGAGCAGAGGGGAAGGTGAGAGGAACAGAGGACAGTGTTGTAGCGCACAGAATCCCGCTTTCCTGAGGGCTGCACTACGAGATGCCAGAGCCGTGGTGGTGGCTCACGGGACTGGCTGTTGGGTGGCTGGGAAGCACCAACATGTATAATATCTGAGCAGCCACAATTTTATAGGCGCTTGGCCTTTAGCAAGTGTGAGAACTTGGGTTGGTGTGGTCTCACTGAAGTGTAGTAATGAGGAGGAGAAAGGGGGAGAGTGGGTGAGGTTTTCTACCCTAAGCCAGGAGCACTGCCAGTGGCTCTTTGTCTGGGAGGGTGTGGAGTAGCCCTCAGCCTTCAGTAGTTTGACATGCTGAATTGGTTTACCTCAGTTTCTGAGCACTGTAGTAGTACCCATCTGGTCGGGTGTTCTGGGTGCCCACAGCAAGGTGTTGGGGACTGCAGGGGCCTTGGCAAGGAGAGGCCAGTGCTGTCCTGTGCCGGGCACAGCCGGCTCTGCAGGGCACAGCTCAGCCCCTCAGCCATGGTGGCGGCACCTCTGGGAAAGGATGTTTAAGAAAGGACAAGTTGTTGCACAGACAGTGAGGAGTGAGGGGGGAAAGAAGTGAGGAGCAGCCCTACAAACACCCAGGTTTGAGGAGGAATTTCCCATCACTTTATAGAAAAAACCCCACCTTCGTATGACATGTCTATTTAAAGTGCACAGGAACGGTTTGTGAAAGTTTAGATCAAGAAATTAAGAAGCCATGGTAGTAGAAAGCGCCTTGTGTTGTTTTTTTTCCTATCTCTTCCCTTTGTGGATAGATGCTGGAGAGATCACTGAAGAAAGTATTTTAGGAATGTAAACTTGTTTCCCACTATTTCATTAGTGCAATGTGGAACTGGAGCTTTTTGGCTCAGCTGTCTTTGGTGTGCAAGAGGTGCAACCTTAAATATTTGTTTTGCCTTTTTTGTAAGGGGGTTCACTTATTAATGTTTCTGTACATCTTTGGTGGTTTGCTCAAGCGTGTGCTAAAACCCCAACTCTTTTTCTTAGTCAAACACAGAAAAATCCAGACTCCACATCACTGCTGGCCTTCATTGAGGTAATCTGTTGCTCAGGTCCAGCAGGTGTGTAGTCCAGAGTAACTAGTTTAGCTACCTCGGTTGTGTTTTTTAACATCTATCTGTTAAACTGGAAGTGCAAATAGGAAATGCAGCACTTAGCAGCAATTTGTGGCTATGCAATTCTCTGGAGAAATCTGGATCGGTAAAGTGATGAATGGGTTGCAATGATGTGTAAGTATCGCATTTTTGTTCTGATAGTTGTAACTCTGCTGTAGTGTGTTTTTCTTTTTATATAAAGAAAAAAAAAACGTATTTTACTTAGTCCAGCACACACAGATCACAAAATTAGTACCTTTAATTATCAATAAGTAGATGCATGTGTAACACTTGGTTTAATACAATTATTCAAATCTGCACAGTTAAGAAGAGCAGGAGTACGTTTGCTTGGTTTTTGTTTGGTTTAAGAGTGGAGAGAACACTAGACTGGGTAAGGATTTGCTAGAATAGAAACTAGTTGTTTTTGTCTATGCCACTGATACTGTTTTTTTGAATAAAGGCAGAAACTGAAAAATTGTATAGTCCAGCAGTTAGTGGGTCATTTGTCAACTAAATGCAGTGTTTGGTTCTGAAGTCTTCGCTTTTCATGTTCTGCCATCCTATGTCTTGTGTGTCAAGTCTTCCTCTGTCAAGAAGTGTGTGTGCGCTTCAGATCATGAGCAATTTCTTGAACCATTTAGCAGTGGTTAACTCAGCTGGAACTGATGGTTAAACTGACTTGCATGGGAATGGAACAGACTGCTTTAAGTGTGAATTTCACTGCAGGAGGAAGATTGAAATATTTGGGATGACAGTAAAACATAAGCACTTGATTTTTTTTTTTTTTTCTTTTTCCCAGCAGCAGCTGTCAGTGAAAATGTTTTTAGGGTAGGGAATACTGTTTGAATAAACAGTAGTACTTTGAATGGTGTCAAAAGCCATGAAAGGCAGTAGGTTATATCAGCCCTACAGTAGGGAAGGATATATCACAACTACTGTGGGCACATGTGTCATGAAGAAGTGTGTAGTAGAGATGCCAGAGTCTGCACTGAAACAAGGCATGCGTTCCTAGTTAAGTGGATACAGCTTTTGCTGATCTGCAACCCCCAAGAATATGTCTGCACCAAGTCCTGTTAAAACACTAACTCATGTCAGTGCTAGTTTGAGTGTGTGTGTACTGTGCTCCATTGCATAGTCCAGAGATGCTTTACTGTAGTTCATATGCGCTTAAATTAGGAAGAAACATGATTTCTTTCTGTTCATTCTTCAGGCAACAAGAGCCTCTCTGACTCAACATTGTACCAATTTGGGGGAGTCGCTGGGCAAGGAAAATGATATCGCTCTGATTATTGATGGCCACACACTGAAGTATGCCCTTTCATTTGAAGTCAGACAGAGCTTTCTGGACTTGGCACTCTCTTGTAAAGCAGTCATTTGTTGCAGGTAAGAAATTCTGGGACTTTTTCTGGTAATAAAATGGGCACAAATCCTGTGAAATTTTACCTAGTATGTTAACTTTGCTTTTATGCCTATAGTGCTCATAGGAAATGTGTAAGTAGGGGAAATACTGTGATTTTTTTCAAGAGGAGGCGAGCTGCAGTGGTGAGCCACTTGATAATATATATTTTCTCTGCTGTGCTTTCTGTCCTACAGGAGGCTCTACAGTGTAGCAGCAGAGCTTGTACACCTTGAAGGTTAAGCCTTCAGTCAGCTGCATGTTCTTTCCTGGTGGTAGAACTCTCTTATCTCTTGGAAGCCGTTTCATAAGTATGCTGGAAAGTAACTTAGCAGTGTCTTTCCTGATCCTATGAAGAAGGAAGCAAGTCCTTCATTAAAATTAAGTACTATCTAATAATGCAATTTCTTCGGCCACAGACCCAGCTGAGTCCAGTCTTTTATAAAATGATGAAAGATCATGAGAAAATGTTATGCTTGATGGCCTGATTGTAGGAGACACTGAGGAGGAGTGGTATGGATCTGGTCAGTTGTAGGCAATAGAAATTGGGTAGCAAGAATTTTGTGTGACTGTTCAGTTCAGCTCTAGAGAAGATCTCTAGATGAATTTCAGCTGCTTTGACTTATCAGTTACGTATACTATGCAAGAATGTGTGTAACAGTGCAATTTATTTTAAATGTTAGACTACCACTCGCTCTACTAGGTCACAGCAGAATTTGACACTGTGGATTTAGCCGTATACAGTTGTGGTCCTGTGTCACGACTACTTCAGAAGGAATGAAATAAGAGCCCCAAGAAAATGGAAAACAATAGGTGGCCTGCTTTATGTTCTGCATAGCAGGAAGACTGCATGATTTTTAACTTCGAAAGCTTATGCAGCTTTGAGGACTCTGTGTGTGTCTGTGTGTGTGCTCGTTGCTGGTATTTGGGGACAACTGTGACCTAGAAGGACTTGCTGGTTTAGGTGGACGGTAAGTTTTATTTGCATTCTAGAAGCAAGACCTGTGTTGTGGGGAATGACTAGATGGAGACCTTGTGCTGCTGTTTTGCAGTCTTGTTTATCTTCATATATGTGCACATTAGCATACAAATACTGCGTGGCAAAAGCAATTGCAGTCCATGCACCTGACGTAGATGAACCCATTGACTTTTTCTGTCTCTGACTAGTTTTCCTTCCAAGTGCTGGGACTCCTGGACTGGTGTACTGCAGGGCTAGCACTGTTCAGTGTCCTCATAATGATCTTATGGAGTATACCCTCAGCAAGTTTACAGATGATATAAAACTGGGAGGTGTGGATGATACACCAGATGGTTGGGCTACCATTCTGAGGGCCCTTGGCAGGCTGAAGAATTAAGCAGAGAAAAATCTCATGAAGCTCAAGGAGGAGAAACGCAGAGTTCTGTGCCTGGGGAGTTAACAGCCCCGTGCACTAGGAAACACTGGGAATTGCCAGGCTAGAAAGCAGCTTTGTCCAGAAGGGTCTTGGGGTTGTGGTGGACAAGTTTTACCATGAGACAGCAATGGTATTAAGGGCAAAAAAAAACCCCAAACAAAAAAACACCCACCCCCCACACCCCCCAAAAGAAAAACAAACCCACCCAACCAAAGAACCCCCAACAGTATTCTGGGATGCAGTATGGAAAGCATTGCCAGTAGGTCAAGGGAGGTGATCCTTCTCTACTCAGCACTGGTGAGATCACATCTGGAGTACTGTGTGCAGTTCTGGGTTCCTCAGTGTAAGATACAAACAGGTTTAACAGAGTCCAGTGCAAGGCCACAAAGAAGACTCAGGGACTGAAGCATCTTTCATATGAGGAGAGCTGGGCATCTTCAGCCTAGAGAAGAGAAGGCTCAGAGGGGTTCTTATCAATTTTTTATAAATACGTAATAGGAGTGAATTGAGGTGAGAGTGCCAGGCTCTTCTCCAGAGCTCAGTGGCAGGGCAAGATGCAACTGACAAATTAAAGCACATGAATGTCTGTTTGAACACAGAAAACCCCACTATTGTACTGTGAGGGTGGCTCAACACGGGAATGGGTTTCCCGGAGAGGCTGTGGAGTCACTGGTCTTAGAAACATGAAAAACCCAACTAGACAACATGGTGCTGGGCACCCTGCTCTAACTGACCCTGCTTTAGCCAAGGACGCTGGACTAACTGGTTTTTAGCAGTCTCTTCCAACCTGGGTGAATCTAGGATTGTGTGAGTGGGGACAGATGTGTTTTGTGGTGTGGGTTTTTTTTTTTTTTTCAGCCAGTGCTTTTTGTCCATCGCTCAAGTCCTGTTCTAAATGTTTATCAAATGCAATGACTTTCCTAAGTGGTTTCTTTAATAGCAATTTTTTACTATGGCTGATTTTTTTTTGGGGGGGGGAGGGCAGGGGGTGGGCGGGGAAGCAGCAGTAGAGGGCATGAGGTGCTAGAAGAGGGGTCTCACTTCTGCCCCAGTTTCATGGGAGCGAAGAATGTTTTTATAAGAGGGAGCTCACAATTGCAGCAGTCTTTTGAATGCAAGAGGCCTGGATTCAGGGCCAGTGAGGGCAGTGTTCCAGTGTTCTCTTCTTTGTGCAGAGTTACCTTGGGCTTAGAACCAAGTGCCCAATGTTCTAGACTGATTCTGTTGTGTTTGTGGGGAAGCTAAATATTGAGCGAACAGAAAGCTCGTACTTTCATACTGTATCGCAGTGCTTTGGTAGGGATTCTTCCAAGGTAGCCTATTAATTTAGTTCTCAAAGATTGATACAGCTTGTCAAAAGACCTGTGTAGCTAAAACAAATATTAAGTTGTAAATTGTTAAGGTTATACTACATTAGTATATGTAACTAACTGAAGAAAATGAATGGTCCTGCTTTGCAGAGATATGTGTAATACTGGACATTTCTTTTCTTGTTATTTCATGACTGACCCAGTAGCAGTTTTAATTATTAGTGAATTTGCAAATTGAGGAATGATGCAGAAAAAATACTGTAAAGTGTAAATCAAAGGGGAGAAGGTGATGTAATTTCATAGGCTTAAAAAGAGGAATAAAATTAACTGAGTTTTAAATCCCCAGGGAAAAAGAGGATTGCCTTTATTAGCCTTTAAGGCTTTGCAGGAATCTTCCATTTACTTTCCAGGTGCTTGATATTGAAGAAAGAGAAACATTTTTTTTCTACCCTGTGTTGTTTTTAATAGTATTTTGTGTGTCAAATAAGACAGTGCAGTTGAACTTCACAGGAAAAAGTTTTAAAATGTAATTAGCATAGCAAGAGGAAATTTCAAATTAAGTAGTCTTCAAACACAGAAATGTTAACTGGGAAGAGGATCTGGGTCTTTAAACTTACTGGTATGATGCTTAACCACTCTAGGAGGAGTTGTGTTGCTATTCTCAACATAGCATGAATTTGTGGGACTTCATATTTCATAAATTTACTACAGTGTTTTCATCTTCTCTGGGGAGTTTCAACTGCATTTGCTGTTCAAAGGGATTTTTAAAAATACACTATATTCGTTTGTTGGGCTTTAGGTGTAAACTGTAGTTGAACTTGACTCTCAGGGGTAAGCTCTTAAAATGAAACTGTAGTAAACCTGGCCCCATTTTGCATTAAGAGGGAGAGATGGTATCTTCTGATGGGGTTAAGCCTTCCACTGTTACAGTGTCTCTGACAGGCCTCTGCCACAGTGGTGGATAATACACCCCTTGGGAGACTGGGTGAAACCTGCAAAATCAAACAAAACAATTCTTTAAGAAAAAGCCTTGTTGGTTAAAAGTTTTTCCAGAGACTGACAGATCTTATTATTTTCCCTCACACTGACTAGGATGTGTATGTCAAGAGCAAGCAAAACTTACTTTTCAGTGGAAGTAAATGTTTGGAAGGTGGTTGAACTCATGACTTCATTTATGAGATCTGAGCTGTTGACTGCCTGCCTCTGGTTTTCAAATGTTCCTTTAAAGGATCTGCTTTTATTGATCATTTGTGAGAGCAGCAAAATGTTAAGGCTTAGGTAGAAACGAGATTATTTTTTTAAATAACAAAACGGACTTTTATCATTCATCTAGTGTTTAGAAAGTCTTAGAAAGCTAGTTTGTACAGCAGATGGCTGTGTTTGGCTTCGTATATAAAAGTAGCAGAGAAGCATGCAACTTGTATGTTACAGCAGAGTATTCAACTTTTCTACTGAACAGCCTGCCTTGAATTGAAATATTTGTAACTGAAATATGTGGTGCTTCAGAAATACTTCTTTGCGACTTTGTATGCTTTGGGAATGATTTGTTGTTATTAAATAGAACTTTTCTGCAGGTAACAATGATTCTGCCTTTATATGGGTTTAATGCCCATATTAGCTCGCACCAGGAAGAAGAAATTCATTGGCAATTTGTGGATAAATCATTCACAGCAGTTTATAAGTACTGAAGTAATTAGTTGTTGAACAAGAAAAGTAGTCCGGCCTTTAATTTCTCACAAACATAAGCACAATGAAGCAAGCATCTCTGGAGAGGTGTGTGGCATGAGGCTGGTGGGACCACATCCTTCACTGGGCTACCTCAGGGTGTTTTTTTGCTCTTATATTACTGGTCATTTCTGTAATACTGTTTGAGGTGATAGTGCTGGGATGTTGAGTGGAGTATTATTCTTTTCCACATATGTATCTGCAGAGCCAGGAAGTTAAACTGAGCTTTTGTAGGTAGATTCTGCAGCCTTTTTCAACTGAGTGAACAGTAAGTTGATGCCCTCATAGGAAAGATTCTGGGATGCAAAAGAAGCATGCCCACCCCCCATATCTGATTTTTCAGAGCCTACTGTTCAGAACTTCTCTACTCCGAAATGGGGAAGATCAGCTGGTATACAGTGCTTGGATGGTAATCACTCAACTCAAACATCCACTGTGTATAATTTGGAGCAGAGGTCTGTGAAAGTTTTATTTAGCTATTCCATACCAAGCTTTGAAAAGTTGCTTGTACAGGGAAATTCTGTTGCTCTGTCCTGTCCCTCTGAAAAGACACGGATG